CCTGGAGCCTGTTTCCAATTCTGTGTCTCCCTCTCTCTCTGCCCCTCCCCCGTTCATGCTCTGTCTCTCTCTGTCCCAAAAATAAATAAACGTTGAAAAAAAAAATTAAAATAAATAAATAAATAAACAGCATTAAACCAGAAATACGTATCAAAAGTCACAGAAGTCCCAGAGGAAGATAATTCCCACCTACGGCATAAACGGTTTCTCCAAGACTGATTACCGTCCGCACGCAGAAACCGTGAAGACGTTTACTCTCAGACCTACGCGCACCCACGTCCCTGGTGGACGCCCCGGGGCCCCGGAGAGCACACGGGGGCAGAGGCTCCCGTGAGTATCACTCGGTGGGCGGGAGTCACGCCAGTGGGGCGCCACGCTCACCCCCGCAGCGTGCCTGCTCCCTCAGACGACGGCGGTTCAATCGGTCTGCCCACAGCACATGGCCGCAGGTAGAGGCCACGCAAATGCAAACACCGTGCTTGCGGGGCCCCTGGGGGGTTCGGTGAGTTAAAGGCCCGACTCTTGATTTCGGCCCGGGTCATGATCTCAGGGTTCGTGGGTTCGAGTCCCGTGTTGGGCTCTGAGCTGAAAGAGCAGAGCCTGCTTGGGACTCTCTCTCTCTCTCTCTCTCTCTCTCTGCCTTTCCCTCATTCATTCTCTCTCTCTCTCTCTCAAAATAAATAAACTTAAAAAAATAATAAATAGAAGCTCATAAAATCAAAGGGGGCAGGAAACCTAAGTGCTTTCACCAAAAACAAAACAAAAAACAAAGAAAGCCATCATACAGCAGAAAACGCTATCCTAGTGTATTGGGAACACCACCGGAGAGGATGCGATTTCCGAGACACGAGGGCAAGAGAGACAGAGAATGCTTCATGGGGGGAAATAAAGGAACATTTTACTTCGACCTTGTCACAGGGTTTACTGTTTCACAAATCATTCCGGCGTTAAAGGAAACTTGAAAAAAAATGCCGATCCTACCACCTGTCTGTAGCGTGACGACCACACATCGGCTGTGAGATCACAGTGGGCTCAGACGCGGGTACGTCCCGCCCTCAGTCCCTGCCACCTGCCCGAACCTTCCTGGCGCCCCAGCCCTCGCTGCCGAGTTGACCAGCTGTGTAACGGTCCGGCAGACGGGTGTGTCCTAAACCCCACGCCCAGTCTTGGCGTCGGGATACCCAACATCGCTGTGCCCGTCATCCATAAAACCTCTCCTCTTGACGTGAAACCTTTCGGGACACGTTTCCAGGTGTGGCCACGCCGCTCAGAGACGGCACCGTCCTCTCTGACCCGTGTTGCCGTGTCCTGCAGGCGGGGGTGGCTAGCGGAGAACAGGACAGCAGAGCAGGAGGGAAGCGGGGGCCCGGCTCCCTCAGGGCCTTCCCTCCAGGAAAGGGAGAGGGGTCCTGCCCCCCTCCCCACCCCGACTGCTCAGCGACGTCACATGCCGGTTCAAAGCCTCCAGCCGGCTGCTACTTTGGACCGTCAGCTCCCGGGTAGGGAGCCTGACGCCAGTCAGAGAACAGGGGGTGCCACCCGGCCGCGGCAAGGGCCAAACCCCAGAAGACGCGGGATGACCGAGATGGACGCTGGCCTTGTGGCTCACAGCCGGGGTGAGGACGGAGACCGGTCCCGGGAACAAACGCAGGCCGCGGGCCCAGGCAGCGGGCTTCCCGAACGGTGGATGCAGGGAAAGGGCGCGAGGAGCCCTGGGTCCCACAGGCACCTCGCGGACAAGCACGGCGCACTGGGATGCGGACGGGGAGCGCGGGGCAGGGAGGAAGAGGCCGCGGCAGCCAAAGGCACGAGCAGGCACCCATGGCAGTGACGGAGAGGGGCAGAGCCAGACCACGGCCACGGCGATCGGGGGCGCTCCATGTGGTTGCGTGGAGGCTGGGGCCACAGGGGCAGGGGGCGCGTGCACCAGAGAAAACAAGCTGGGATGGAGGCACCCGGCCGCGAAGCTGGTTCCCGAGGCTTCCGGGCAGCTCCCTGCCGGACCTCCCGACCTCCTGTCCCTCCTCACTACACAAAGGCCCCTCCTTCTGCCGGACGCGGCTTAACGCAGCACGTGGCGTCCACTTTCCCACCTCGGTCTCGCCACACGCTCCCCCGAAAGCCAACCTGGTCACTCCTGGTCCCGGCCAGCAGGCTGGGCGGTCACTCCTGGAAGCTGCTCCGGGCCACACGCCTCCCGCAGGTTCAGGGGCACGCGGGCTGAGGGTGTCCCCCGCTGAACGGAGCAGCAAGTAAGTGCTTCCCGGGAGGGGACACCTTGCGGAGACGACGTGGCCGTGACCCAGGGGAGGAAACAGGTGCACACACACAACGTGGATGGGCTGGTGCTGCCTGTGGGCCCCACTCTGCGTCACGTGCTCCCCCCTCCGTCCACATCGCGATCTTCGACCTTCCCACCTCTTCCTTTCAAGTCCAATACGTGCGACATCGCGCTGTCTGCCCAGGCTTTGCCCCAACCCAGCCTCTGCCTGCCCGCCTCCCTAACTGACCTCACCCCACCTCACCCCGTCATCACTCACGGGGAGCTGGCTCTCACGCACGCACGGGATTGACGTGAGCTGGAAGTATTCCCTTTTCACCAGGGGTGCCCTCCTGTTTAAGTCACTTGAGGGGGTGGCCTCCGGGTTTTGGTAACCCTCCTTCGGCCCCGTACTCCACCCCGACGTTTAGACGGTCGACAAAAGACCGATACTTCCCGCCGGGCCTGCTCGCGCAGACCAGCACATCTTTCGCGGGAAGCGCGCCAGAAAGCAAGCAGCTCGGGGTGCGGCTAGCGGTGCGGTCACTTGCGTTCTTACCCCTATGTGCTGAAAGAGCCAAGATCTCATCACGTTGGTGGCATGCTTCGGCAAAACGCCCCTTTTGTTCTTAGCTGAGCCGTCATCTTGATGCAAGATGCTGAGATCTTGGTTTAACTGTAACTGGAGCTTTGAAACAATTGAAAAGAAAATGTTAGAAAGCACAGAAAATTATGACACATCCAAGTGGCTCAGGACTTCAGATGGAGACAATAACCAAAGATCTACGGATAAATGACTTGTCGATAGCAGGGGCACGTGCACTGGAGCGGGTGCAGGCTATTGGGGGCGGGAGGAGGATCCCGGGGCATCATCGCCACGGGCACGGCCGTCTCGCTGTCAGTGGCCCCTCATCTGGCGAGGCAGGTGACACGGGCACCGACAGCTCCCCGGGGTCACTCCCCTGTCGACATGCCAACCCCACGGCCCTCTCATCCACTGCCCGTTTGCGCCTTGCGTCCTCTGGCAAGGGACGTGATAAAACACCGCTCTCCCAGCCGAGAGAGCTGTCAGGCAATCAACAAGAACGGGCAGGAAGGCTTGAGGGCTGGAGACGGCCCGTGGGCTGAGCAGGGGGCAAAGGCACACACAGGAGCAGACAGAAGCATCACAGAGCAAGGGACGAGGGACCGCCGGTGGCCCAGACGCCTCCGCAGCCACGACAGATGCCCCCACCCCCTGCGGAGAGCAGGGAACACGCTCTGTCCGTTGCCTTTCAAAAGGAAGGACAGGCAGGGCACCGCGAATGTCCTGCACACAAACGAAAGAGAGATCTGAGGTCTGTAAGGATAGGCCTCAGGCCCCGGCAGGTCCCAGGGGCCGCACCTGATGCCCAGCACGCCCGTGGGGACGGTGTCATCGGTGTTCACGACACGGGCAGGGGACGAAAGCGATCACCACTCATCAGGGCCTCACACACACACAGCAGAGACCTCTCTACTGTTTCCCTCGAATGGAGAACTTATGTATGAAACGGACTCCACAAGAAAACGAACATCAACTTCAATATGATGCATTCACAGACACAGTTGATTTACCATGACCTGAGCCGAAGTTAGATGCTTAACTGACTGGGGCACCCAGGCACCCCCATAGACACAGTTTAAAGGATTTGGAACTCGGAGCACCTGGGTGGCCCAGTCGGTTAAGCGTCCAACTTCGGCTCAAATCATGATCTCACTGTTCATGAGTTTAAGCCCCACGTCGGGCTCTGTGCTGACAGCTCAGAGCCGGGAGCCTGCTTTGCATTCTATGTCTCCCTCTCTCTCTGCTCCTGCTCTGCTCGTGCTCGCTCTCTCTCTCTCAAAAATAAATAAACATTAAAAATTTTTGAAAAAAAAAGAAAGGATTTGGAACTTTATTTTGGAGAGGTCACCGTATTATCTGTGCTTCCTCTGGATTTATATCACTTTGGATACATTCTTTAAAAGCCTCAACAATATCATCTAAACAGAATTAAAGGAGACGTTAAGACACTGACTGTACCTAAAATATTTTAAAACCAAAGATTATTATCCAGGCCATAAGAGTTTTCGGAAACGGGTTTCCTTGTCGGGGGCTGAAAGCGGGTGGTGTCGAGCGCCCTCTCCGTGCTCCTACGTGTGCACAGGGAAGAGTGGGAAATGAACTTCCAGTAGGAGTTCCCAGGCACCAGGGGCCAAACTTTAGCTTGTCTGCCTTATTTGTCTCAATTAACGTGTAATGTTCCTCACGAAGCTTGACATGGGCTCAGTGTCACTTTTCTTGTGCAGGGCTGAAGCAACTGTGGGCTCAAAAAAGGCCAAGTGATGGCTGGCCGTGTGACTGGACCCCACGGATGGCGTCAACGGGGTCTGAGAGGGCCGGCGAGGCTGCGTGAGGAAGCAGACCGAGGGCCTCGGAACAGAGCAGCCGCTGGCCCTGCGGGGCTCCAGCAGGGCCAGGGACTAGACAGGAGGGGGTGAAAAGCCTAGGAAACTGGCCGGAAGTTTGCTCAAGAAGCAGAGACAGCCCCGGACCCTCCCCGTCATTCTCCGCAGATGACCCATCTGTCCCCCGGCCCGCGGGAGACGGAGGACGTGTTGAGCGCAGCTGGACGGTGGGAGTGAGGGGCAAGGAACGCCTCCACACGACACGGGAGACCCCAGCCCGTCCCCGCCCCTGCCGCCAGGCCTGTGCCCCGAGAGAGAAATCTGAGAGTCCTTCTCTGGAGTCACCGAGTGAAGAAGACGCTCCGAGGCCGGCCAACGGAGAGGCCCGCTTGCCGCAGCCCGCGCCCGACGCGCACCCAGTGGCTTCCTAGCGGCTCAGGTTCCGAGGACAGGCAACTGTCCCCAAATATCTGAAACCCTCCATCTCATGGAACTGGACAGGGCTGGGCTGACAAAATTAGTCGGGCAGAGGAAGACAGACATCGTATGACTCACCCGTATGAGGACTTTAAGAGACAAAACAGGTGAACCGAAGGGAAGCCAGAATAACATAAAAATAGGAAGGGGGACAAAACAGAAGAGACTCGTAAATACAGAGGACAAACAGAGGGCTGCCGCAGGGGCTGTGGGAGGGGCAATGGGCTAAATGGGGAGGGGCCATTAGGGAACCTCCTCCTGAAATCACCGCTGCACCACATGCTAACTAACTTGGACGTAAATTAAACATAAAATAACGTTGATAATCATTTTAAAAATAAATGAAAGTCAGGGCGCCTGGGTGGCGCAGTCGGTTAAGCGTCCGACTTCAGCCAGATCTACATGCAGTCCGTGAGTTGAGCCCAGCACGTCAGGCTCTGGGCTGGGCTCGAGAGCCTGAGCCTGTTTCTATTCTGTGTCTCCCTCTCTCTCTGCCCCTCCCCCATTCATGCTCTGTCTCTCTCTGTCCCAAAAATAAATAAACGTTGAAAAAAAAAAAAAAAATTAAAAAAAAAAAAAAAATAAATGAAAGTCTCCATCACAAGAAGCAGACACCAGCGGGAACGAACGTTGAGGCACAGAGGGAAGAGCGAGAACACAGAAGCTAAAGACCACTGCAGCCACCCTTGGGCCAAAAACGAGAGCTTCAACGCAAAGCAGAGGCCGAGGAGGGTCTGGAAAATCCCTGCTCCGCTGAACACTTTGAACTTCGAGGACGGGGCGGAAGGTGGTGGGGGGAGGGGGCGCGGAGAGAAAAGTCAGTCTCTGAGAACGAGACCATGGGAGCACAAACACACGGAAGTCCAGAGACTCTGTTCGGAGGGTCCGATGCTCAGTTAGCAAAGGCTCTACAAAGAGACTGTGCGGGCCGGGGAGGGGGCAGGGCCGTCTCGGGAGACTGCGAGCACACGTCCCCGACTCAAGGACACGAGGTTGTGGGACCGCGCTGCAGCAGCACGGAGGAGAGAAGCATCCGACGGGAGACAGAAGACGCTGGCCCCTTCCCCAGGCAATGTGGCCACGAGGGCACAGAGACGCCGTGGCCTCCAGCCCCGGTGACAGTCATCTGCATCCCGGAGCTGCACTTGGACACAGATTGCATCACAAGACCGAAATGACGTCATTCTCAGGTTTGCAAAGTCTCAACAAAATGTACCTCCCAGCATATTTCCTCTGGACGTTTGCAAAGTGGGGAATAAAGCTAAGAAAGCAGAGGGTACACACTCCAAGAGAGGGGACTCCTGAAGGTGATGTCAAAGGAAAGTTCAAGAACATGCCCTGTGCCTGGCCCAGAGAGAGACGAGCCCCTGCGAGCAGGAGACGGAGAGCTTCTGGGGGCACACGGCTCCGATGTGCCTTCTGGAAGGCAGGGCGTAGGGGGATCAGCACGAGGGTGTCAGCCACGGCCCCATGAGCACTCGGCCAGGGGACTCAGCAAGGCAGCGGTTCACTCGGGCAGAAGCAAACACGTGACCCAGAAAAGTGCTGTGATCACAGTTACACACTCAGCTCGGCACAGACCCGTATTTACACAGTCAGGGTAACATTAACACCGAGCAGGGGTGTGGCCACAAGGCCAAACACACAGGGAAGATGGGGGAAAGCCAGAGCGAGCAGGGGCTCCTGCCACGACAGTGAGCCCAAAGCAGGTGTGTAAGGGGTGACTTAGTGTTTAGAAACGGGGAGGAAGCCAGCAGAAGGAACGACTGTAAGATCAGGAAGCAGGTGCCTGACACGAGAGGCGGGAACAGCGGGCGAGAAAGGTGGCGGTTTGCTCCAAGCCTCTCAGCACCCTTGACGCTGAGCTGGGCACGCAGCTCGATATAAACTTGATTTATATCAAAGCAAAGTGAGTTAAAGAGTAGAATAGAGCCAAAAAACCTTGTCACAGGCCAACCAATAGCAGAACCCTAAAATACACAAATAACGATCGTACAAATAGACTCTCCCAGGAAAGGAGAGGAGATCAATGAAATCCCCTGGTTTCTTCTCTTTTCTCAAAAAAATGTTTTTAGGGGCGCCTGGGTGGCTCAGTCGGTTAAGCATCCGACTTCGGCTCAGGTCATGATCTCGCGGTTCGTGGGTCGAGCCCCACGTCGGGCTCTGTGCTGACAGCTCGGAGCCTGGAGCCCGTTTCGGGTTCTGTGTCTCCCTCTCTCCCTGCTCCTCCCTTGTTCATACACTGTCTCTCTCTGTCTCTCAAAAACAAATAAATGTTAAAAAATTAAAAAAAAAACACTTTTAGAAGCATAAACACCTTTCCATAGAGACGCCCTACGAAGAGGGCAAATCCCACCTCCTGACGGGCATTAAGTCAGAATGCAGCCCATGGTGGCGGACTCTCTCCTGGGCGAGTGTGGCCGTGTTAAAATCCCCCGTGTGTGCACCCGAGACCCAGCCAGACACTGGGCAGGACGGGGCGGTAGGGGGCAGCACGGGCGCAAGCGTTACGAGGGCTCAGCCGTGACGGCCACCGCACTGCCGCTGAGATTCACCTGGGGGTCATACTGGCCAGAGCAACCACGTGAGCCGTGACAGTGACCGAACGGACCGTGACAGCTTCCGACACAAGAACAGACCCCGTCATCGGTAAGTTGTCACCCTGATTATCTGCAGCCCAGAAAGAACCAGCCCCACCCCCCAAAAAAGGAAAAAGAAAGGAGCCCAGAGCAGCCCAAATAGCTACAAAAAGAAAATCGTATGCACCACCTCATCCAAAGCACCTGCACCAAGCCCTCGGTCAATCTGGTCGCTCTTCCGTCAGAAACCCGGGCAGCCCGTGTCTCTGGCCTCCCAGCCCTGCTGACCTAGAAGCCATACACGGAGGAGGGTGACGGGGAGGGGGCAGGTGCACGGTGGGCTGCAGGGCCACGAGGACCAGAGCAGAAACAGCTCACGGGCAGCAAGAAAGGGGGCTGCGTTCGCCAGCCCGCCTCATGGGGCTGGGGGGCGTCACAGGCGAGTCTGTGTGAGAAGGGGTTGCACCGAAACACACATTTGCTAGTTAAACTAGTCCTCGGTGTGTCTAAGAAAATTCAGTTAAGCAGCAACTTCCTCCTTAAGCATCGGGACAGATAAACCTCTTCTCCAGAAGGGAGGCAGCGGACTCTAAGGCGTCTTTCTCTAAGAGCGGTTCACGCTGGCACTGGGACGCGCTCTGCCGACCAGGCGCCGCCCGCGTTCACGGCTGTGGCACAAGGGGAGCTCCAGGGACAGTGGGCTGGATGGGGAGCCCAGGGACAATGCTGCTGGGGTCTAGCTCCTCCTCTACCCCTCGCGGGCCCAGATGACAAGGCCCCCAAGCCCAGCCCAGCTCTGCCCGTGAAGTGAGAGGCGATAAGTCCCGGATGGGCCGGGCCCAGGCCCTCTCGCATCTGCTACCTGAGTAAGGGAAACACGAACGTCCCCAAGGCTGGGCTGCCAGTTGTCAGTAAGGCTGCAGGAAACATCCGTGCTTCCAGGAAACAACGAATCTACGTTCTTAGTGTGAGCTGCTAACAGAAACGTGGTCTTTCTGATTTAAACTGAGCTGCGTGTAAATAACAAGGCTGTACGTGTACGTGTGTGTGTGTGCGCGTGTGTGTGTGTGTCTCCACAACTTAAAGGGGGTGGGCAGTCCACCGAGTTCAGCCTCCCCTACCACAAAGGCACGGAGGGCGTAGGTGGACTGCAAGGTCACAGCGCGTAACAGCATTTCCACCTGCTGCTTCTGCCCCTGAGGCGGCCTCCTGTGCTCTTGAAGCTG